AATAATTAATAATAATTTTAAATGGAATATAAAACGCTGACTGCATTTATACAAAGAAACACATGATTACTTCCATCTTTATAATTATACATGAATCGTACAAAAATAAAATGCACAAAAAATATTAAATATTTTTTTATTTATACTTTGATTGCATAAAACATTATTAGTTATATAGTTCACATATTAATTTTTTCTCTCACACAAAGTTTATATATATATAGGGATTGAATAAAATCTTAAAGATATTGTACATACGATGCCTTTTGTAAATCGCATTATATATACAATATATAGATTATTATTAAATTATCTTTTACAAACTTTGTTATAATCTCACATAAATTTTTGCTTATTTATTTGTGCTTGTAGTATTATAACTAAAACAGTCACAACAGATGAGATGAACTAAAATTAAATACATATAAATTCTTTTTTAAATATTTGTCAATTTGAAGTACGCAATTATATGATAAATATAACATACCCCGTGAAGAAATTTGAAACCAAATTGGAAAAGTCCAATTCCACAGAATCTAAGTGGGGCATAAACTATTCGTAATGAAAATTGTGAGATCTATGTAAAAACATATTATTTTAATGCATATCTTTTGATTTTTATATTTACTTGTACATTTAATATTTACTTTAATAATAATTTTAACGAATTTATATTTTAAAACTTACAATTCCACGAATTTCAATATCACAAGTAACATGATATGATAATCTATTTAATATATCTGCTGTTGCTTTCGCCTAAAATTGTAATATATGATAAATGTAATTATTAAAGAATGTAATAAAAAAGAAATTTCTAATTTAATTTTCAAATTATATATCAATAATAATTTTTGAATTTATTTCACATATATTGTAAACAAATTTTAAATTAATGTTTTCTGAAATTTAATGTAATTTGATCTACCTTGGTGGTAACTGTTTCACACATATAATTAATGAGCAGGAATTTAAACATATGATTAAACATGCAGAACGTGTGAAGCGTGATAGTCATTATTTTAGCTTTGACATAATTTTCGATAAGTACTGGATAGAGAAGTTCGCGTAAGTCAAACGCTATCCAACCAAAATAGCATACCATTTTGATAGTCATTTGGGTTCCAAATATTGAGTCTATTTCATGGGTTATTTTGCGTAGCTCTAAGTAAAGGTGTCTGTATACAGAAATTAACTGTTATAAATGTTATATTTTTTTCTATGATCGTCATTAAAGAATTAACATATTAAAATTTCTTACATAGTGATCCACATAATGCATTTGCTGCTTGATGATTTCGAAAATCTATCTTGATAAGGATATATTCTATTATTTTCCCAAGCCCGTATTATCTTGTGTCTTTGATTTTTTATCAAATTCCGAATATGCTCATTGATTTGATCAAATTTTAATCCTATGTATCTAATGTATAAAAAAGTAGATGAAAAATAAAATTATTTGAAACAGTAGCTACTTCTAAGTCAGTATTTAAAAAATCTTCATTTTAGGAAATATTCTTTTATTACTATTTAGTTTTATATATTTATATATTTATATATTTATATATTTATTATTATTTATATAAATAATTACAGTCATAAGATAAAGATATAATTGTAAGTATATATAAAACGTGTATTAACTCGAGGATAGTTGCATTAATCAAATCACCCATAAGATTAATATGAAAACAATAATCTCGTAGAAAGCTGAAATACATATTTGATGCCATAACCTCATCATATTCATTTCTCAATGTTAAACTTGAGCAGTATGTTGTTAATATAACTATGACGATCCATCCTAAGGCATACCACATTACTTTTCTGTGTAGCTTGTCATAATCTGTCATTGTTCCTAATTTAAGCAATGTGTTGTCGATAGTATCAATTCTCTTCAAACAATTTTGGAATTTCTGTCACAAAAATAGAATATGAAATAAATTAATAAATATTATGATAAATTCCAATTGAAAGAACCCAGCTGCAACTCCTGTAAAGTATTGTCATGATAACCATCACTAATGGTAATTGATTTCTATTCTTAGGATTATTTTAAAATCAACGAAAAGATATATTACTATGTGTAATTAAGATTATAATTTATTTTGTTGTTACTTTTGTGTAATTTAAGCGTTTATAAAATAAGCTTTTTTCTTTATTTCTTTTCTTGGTTTCTTTTCATAAAAAAATCGTTGTATGTATATCATATTAGGAATTCTTTTTTCAAATTAGCAAAATTTACAATTTTGATAAAAACTTTTACATACAACAAAGTATAGCTATTGATTGCTAATTTTTGGCGATAAAAATTGAATATGTTTCCTATAAGTTTGACATAAAAACAGAAATTAAAATAATAAAGTAAATAAATTAGACGCCTTTAGAAAAAAGTATCATATTAGATGCATCTTTATTTTATGATTAAGTAATTTTAATGTGTATATTAATATACACATATATCCTGTGTTTAATATTCAAATTGTCCAAAAATCACCTGCGTTCTGTTCACAAAATTTATTTTATTGATCACTTTTTAATGAACAATAACCGATAAAAACTAAAACGTCTCAAAAGCATTCAGTATGACTGGTTTGAAAACGTATCTACACTATCCCCGAAAAGTTTCCGGACATGGAACTTAAAATTGTATAATATTTAGGTGTAATTCGAAAAAATCATCGCAGAAAAAAAAGCATTTTGAAGTTTGAAACTTATATGCTTTTGACTTTTCAAAAAAATCTTTACAATTTTATATTATAATATCACATTGTAATATTTTTTATAATTATGTACATTTTAACAATGCGCAGTTTGATAAAAATTTTTTTTTTTGAAAAGTTCAATATTTTTAAAAAACAGTAGAAAAATTTACCTCCGAAATGTGTTTTTAAAAATTTTCTTATGATTTTTCTTGACTGAATTATTGAAACTAAACCTGCATAGCTTATAACATTAAAATTCGGTGAAATGTCATCGTAAAAAATTAAAGAAGCATTTTAAAGCTCGAAGTTTATATTTTAACAAGCTTTTGATCGTTTTTAAATTTAATTCTAAGAATTGAGAAGATAAAAAATTTTGGTGATGATTTTTTACCAAATTTCATCGTTGATTATTTAGCAATGCAAGTTTAACTTCAATGTTGAATATTTCAGTCAAAAAAATTATAAGAAAATTTTTAAAAAAGCATTTTGGAAATAAATCTTTGAACTGTTTTTCATAAATGTTAAACTTTTTGAAAAAAATTTGTTATCAAACTGCGCACTATTAAATATGTAATTTTAAAAAATACAACAATGTGATATTTGTTACGATACAAAACTAAAGACAAAATTTTTTTGTAAAGCGATCAAAAGTACTAAAGTATAAATTTCAAGCTTTAAAATGCTATTTTATTTTTTTGTCTGCGATTTTTTACAAGTTACAATGACCTGAATATTATACAATTTTAAGTTTCATGTTCAAAAACTTTTCGGGGGTAAGGTATATTAAGATTAATGTATTTTGGTTGATTTTCCTCGGAATATTTACAGTTTTTATTATTAAACAAATGTAGAATTTAACGTACTCTAAATTATAATTTTTATATATTTATTTCTAGGGAATGGAAGAGTTACTTTTCAATTACTTTTACAGTTACTTTGTATAATAACAATTTGATAACAATGTTGCAATTTTTTATGATTGTAATGATGATCAATTATAAAACGCTGAAGTTACGCCTTACTTTTGAAAAAAGTAATAAATAATGAGTAACGTTGTAAAGTTACACGTTGCATTACAAGGTATAAGTTGCATTAAAAAGTAAAAATTAAAAATTGCGAGTTAAAAAGTAAAAATTAAAAATTGCGAGTTACTTTTTTCAGTAACGAGTTATTTTTTTCAGAAACGAATGACGTCCAACTCGTATAAGTAACTATTGACTGCTTCAACTTTGATGTTATATAATCATCATGAGAAATTCGCAACATCATTACCAAGTTATTACAATTAGGTATCTAACGTCACTAACAATAAGTAATAGCAGCTATAGTAATTAGTTACTTCCATTCCCTGTATTTTTTATCAATGTAATTCTGTAGATAAGAGTATGTTTAATCCTAATAATTAGGTATATTATAACAATTGTTTTTTATTCATAATATTACATTTATGGCAATTTGTTACCTTGTCATGGTATATTCCAAACATGATTGACATTATCATCACAGGAATTTCTAGACGATGACCAATATTGTCCGCAAAGGACATATAAGAAGAAGTAAATGCATATAATGCGAGGAAATAGTAAACTGACCAAAATAGCAGTACATACATGACACTAAACCATAATCTTGAATGATTAAATATGGCAATTCTTAAACCAAATACATAACTCATTATTAAAAGTGGCTTTAAAATCGTACGAATACTTTTGATCATTGCGCATATAGTTTTTATTTCAAACTGTGCTTTTGTTGATCAGTTGGAAGTATAAATTGAATCGAATGAGAACATATAGTATAGATACAATTTCAGTTAAAGCACTTAGGAATATTGAAGTAATTATAGCCTATATGCCACAATTTATGTCCATTATTTATTGAAATTTATGAATGGGAATATTATTTTTACTCATATATGTTTATATATAAATGCTATGAATATTCTGACAGTTTTGTTTTTTATTTTTTGTTTGTTCTTTTTGTAATATATATTTGAGAGTGTCATTAAACATCAGTATCAATTTTAATTGCAAGTTATTAATTGCAAATTTATTAACTGCAACCGCAGTTGTAACAAATATATAAATAATATACATACAAACATTATAAATATATTGCAATTATGTGTTGTTTCTCTATATTATGTATAAAAATATATTTATGTAATGATGTTCCCAGATAGCAAAGCTTGCGGAGACAGATTTTGAGTAGAGCAAGCTATCGATCTTTGAAGGCAGCAAATTATTGCATATAAAATTTGTGCTATTTACCAATGTCAGCAAATTGTTAGAAATAGGACAAAACCTATTGGCATGTTTTGCCAGCAGATTGCCTGCAGAAACCGAGGAAAATTTTGCAGTTTTTTTTCAGTTTCTGCCAGTTTGCCGTCAGATTCCCAATATGCGTAGATTCTGTTTTTGTCACTATTTTGCTGATATAACATGAGTAAGCTCAGTTGATAAATCTATCAAATCAGATCAAATGCGGACACAAATGACTAGGATTTTGTAATAGGAATTTGATCGAATTCGCTGCTAATTTGCCCGCAAACTGCTAGAATTTTGCAATCAGAGTTTGTAATAAGAAATTTATAAGCAGATAATTTATGTAAAAACATAATAAAAAATAATTTTATGTTTATTGCATAAAATGCTATTAATTATTATTTATATTTAATAATAACAAAAATTTAATAACATCTTTTTTTTATCTCTTAAAATATAACTTTCTTTTCTTGCACTTTCTCTCAGTTCTAATATAGAAACATTAAAATTGTAATATAAATAAAATTGTAAAATAATATACTTTATGAACATCATATGTGCATTATTATCAGATCAAATTTTTGTAAATTCTATTATAGTTTAATAAAATGTTTACTCATGTGCTTGCATGTATATTACTATACCTAAATTTGAAGCAATATACATAATAAATTAAAAAATGAGATCAAAATATGAGTATCTTTTTAAATATTTGTTGTTGTTGTTAAAGAGGTCTCATATAGTATATTAGAAGATCGAAAAAAATGGTGATTTTTTTTAAAAGGAAGACTAATATTTATTGTCTTAGAATTTTATGCACGTTTTGATATAACTTGTAGAGTATGTAAGAACTGAATTTATAACAAAGAACTTCGAATTTCATTGTAAAATTTTAGAGAGAATATCCTTGAAGAGTTGTACTATCGATTTATGAAAAAAAAACCGATTTTGTTTAACCTTCTAATGTATGAGACCCCTTAACTAAGTACTCCATAACAATAATACAGGATCTTAACTTTATAATATATACATAATTATATCATAAATATGTATAATGTATTCTGTTAAGAAATTTAATTTCAAATTAGAAAAATACGATTTTACAGAATTTGAATAATGTATAATTTTTAAATTATTTTTTAATGAAG